AAGTTGTATAATCTCCTGTCGACGTAGATGCCACTGGTTCTTCACATTCTGCAGATGTAGATGCCACTGGTTATTCACGTTCTGCAGATGTAGATGCCACTGGTTCTTCACGTTCTCCAGATGTAGAAGCCACTGGTTCTTCACGTTGTGCAGATGTAGATACCCCTGGTTCTTCACGTTCTGCAGTTGTAGATGCCACTGGTTCTTCACGTTCTGCAGATGTAGATGCCACTGGTTCTTCACGTTCTGCAGATGTAGATCCCACTGGTTCTTCACGTTCTGCAGATGTAGATGCCCCTAGTTCTTCACGTTCTGCAGATGTAGATGCCACTGGTTCTTCACGTTCTACAGATGTAGATGCCACTGGTTCTTCACGTTGTGCAGATGTAGATGCCCCTGGTTCTTCACGTTCTGCAGATGTAGATGCCACTGGTTCTTCACGTTCTGCAGATGTAGATACCCCTGGTTCTTCACGTTCTGCAGATGTAGACGCCACTGGTTCTTCACGTTCTGCAGATGTAGATGCCACTGGTTCTTCACGTTCTGCAAATGTAGATGCCCCTGGTTCTTCACGTTCTGCAGATGTAGATGCCACTGGTTCTTCACGTTCTGCAGATGTAGATGCCACTGGTTCTTCACGTTCTGCAGATGTAGATGCCACTGGTTCTTCACGTTGTGCAGATGTAGATGCCCCTGGTTCTTCACGTTCTGCAGATGTAGATGCCACTGGTTCTTCACGTTCTGCAGATGTAGATGCCACTGGTTCTTCACGTTCTGCAGATGTAGATGCCCCTGGTTCTTCACGTTCTGCAGATGTAGATGTCACTGGTGCTTCACGTTCTGCAGATGTAGATGCCACTGGTGCTTCACGTTCTGCAGATGTAGATGCCACTGGTTCTTCACGTTCTACAGATGTAGATGCCACTGGTTCTTCACGTTCTGCAGATGCAGATGCCCCTGGTTCTTCACGTTCTGCAGATGTAGATGCCACTGGTTCTTCACGTTCTGCAGTTGTAGATGCCACTGGTTCTTCACGTTCTGCAGATGTAGATGCCACTGGTTCTTCACGTTCTGCAGATGTAGATGCCACTGGTCCTTCACGTTCTGCAGATGTAGATGCCACTGGTTTTTCACGTTCTGCAGATGTAGATGCCACTGGTTTTTCACGTTCTGCAGATGTAGATGCCACTGGTCCTTCACGTTCTGCAGATGTAGATGCCACCACCGCCGTCTATTGCGCGGCGGTTTAAATTACGACTCTCGGTCCGAACGGGCCACAACTGGACATACGGACCAGGTTTGTTTGTACCTCTGAAAGTTCGCAAGTAGAATGTTCGTAAATGGAGGAGTCCCCTGTATTGTTAACGTACAAAGCAGTGAACCATCTTGCACCCAGCCTACATCATTGACGACGCTGCACCCATTTGTCCCCCTCAAGGTTCAGATCATCTCTCTGCATTCCCAGATCGAGGCTTCTTCGACCTATGGCTGACCGAGATGTTTTTCCCCGTGTAGCCCCCAGGCTACGGAACCCTCTCGGAGTCTGTGGACATTTTTTTTTAAATGCGTCTTAAAACCTATTTACATACGCTTCCGCTTTTTCAACTTTTAGCGCATTTGGCAACACGGATTTTTAAAACGTACTTGTAATATAATTGGTTTTCATGCCGAGTGCCTGCTGCTGCTGCTGTCGTTAACAGCGCTTTGAGATCCATGACAGAAGTTGTTTGGGTTAGATTGCGTAAATATAAATGTGTCATTAAACCCGTCACCATCCGACACAGCCAATTTAGTAAGGGGTTTGTCACGTAAACCAAACGTGGCCAATTCGTTACAAGTACAGTACACCGGTTGTGTGTTGAAGAGTAAACCCACTACAATGTTTACAATTCCAGTACCGTGACGTTTCGCTTGTGATGACAACAACCAGCATCATCAGGCTGTCTATCTTGGATAAATGTTGGTCGCGAAAGCCTACGTGTTAAACTTGGTTCTTTCGGTAAAGTCACGTAAAAGGGAAATAATAAAATAAGAATAAAAAAACAATAAAATTATTCTCACGACGTTACGGCCACAACGCATGCAGCCGTCCTCAGTTAAAGACCAGATCTGTCGGGGAGACAGCGTCTGAATGCTTTGAGATCCTTGATGAAAAGCGCTATATAAATTGAATTATTATTATCACCTGTGCCCCCACCCCACCCACCGCCATCACCATCACCGCCACGGCAGGAGGGCGACGTCCCGCCGTGGGGCTGGGAGCGGGCGGTGGACACGGTGGAGCTGACCAACGACGGCTCGGGGCTCGGCTTCGGCATCGTCGGGGGCAAGGGCACCGGCGTGGTCGTCAAAACCATCCTGCCCGGGGGGGTCGCCGCTCGCGTGAGTCCGGTGCCGGGCCCGCCGCCCCCCGTGCCGCCCCCCCCCACCCACACCCTCGCCTATCCCACCCCAAGGTGGAATAGGACAGATTTTCTTTTTTTTTTCTTCTATCTCTCGCCCATGACGATCAGACGATAGGCCGTCACGACGTCATCGTCGCCTCCGGAGATACCGTCCGGGAGGAAATCTCGTGGGGGGGGGAAGGACGGCACCACCCCCCCCACCCCGCGCTTGCGGATATCGCGGAGCCACGACCCGCGAGTTCCTCTCTTTCCGCATAGAAGAAGATTCCGCCCCCCCCGTGTAGCCTTAACAGACTGTTGGGGCAAGTGCTGTTATAGCGAGCAGCACCTATGAAGGCCGGCGCTGTGGCACACGAGGGGGTGGATGGCCAACGCCGCGCCCGGCCGCCTTTGTCTCTCCCAGTGGCGACGTTTTACTACACCACGCCGCACCGGGTACTGATTTGAGGCCGAGTCGACCCAGGGGAGGCCCAGGAGCGGTTCATACAATCGTCACCGATGTTCGTGGCCCGTGAGCGTGAATCGAACCCGGGTCGCCGGGTTCGTAGCGCAGAGCGCTAACCGCTGCACCACCGTTCCCCACCCCCCTGCCCCCACCCCCGCCCCCATGCCTCCACCAAGGTGGATTAGGACGATTTTATTAGGACTGATTGGCCTCCACCTTTTGCCGTTGTTTCTCTGGTCTCACACTGGTGGTGAGACTGGGCCACAAAGGAGGCCAGCTATGGTGTGGGCCAATCTATTTCAAAGACAAATGCATCCATTATCATTGGAGCAAGTTTAATCTATTTGGTGTTTGAACATCTAAACACCTCCTGCTTCATTGCCAGAAATGGTAAAAAACCTATTGTTATTTTTCATCATTTTGGATCCTGCTAAAAAGGCCCCGTGGGTATCTATGGGCGGTGTGTATGTACGTTGAACTTCTTTCGCACCGTAAGAGGCCAGTCTGAGGTGCAGCGCTGCGTCTATGGATGATGATGATAATAATAGCGATACAAATAACAACAGCAACAACGTCTGGCCCTGCAGGATGGGAGGCTGCAGAGCGGAGACCACATCCTGCAGATCGGGGACACGGACGTGCAGGGCATGGGCAGCGAGCAGGTGGCCCAGGTGTGCCAACGCGCCCGCTGTGCACACACGCACCCCTCGCTCGTCTTCCCGTTCGGAGTTCCGGTGCGGTGAAGGGCGATGCTGGTGCCCGCGCGTGTCCGTGCGTGCGGTATGCGCTGTTCCGCGCGTGTGATGCACGCGCCGCGTGCGTGTGTGTGTGTGTACACGCGTGCGTTTGTGTGTACACGCGTGCGTTTGTGTGTACACGCGTGCGTGTGTGTGTACATGCGTGCGTGCGAAGGTCCTGCGCCAGTGCGGCACGCACGTCAAGCTGGTGATCGCGCGCGGCCTGAGGGAGGCCGAGCGCCCGTCGCCGCCGTCGTCGCCGCCGCCGCCGCAGTCCCCTGGGGGGTTGTCGTCGTCGTCCTCCACCCGGTCGGCCTCGAGGGAGGAGGAGATCCCCTCGGTCGCCTCCCTGCACGCCCTCCGCTCGGAAGAGGTGCGACCGGTGAATCGCCGGAATGGCCGACCGCAAATTGCCGCCCGCGCAATTGCTCGGCACGCGCGTGTGTGTGTGTGCGCGCTTGTGTGTGCGCGCGTGTGTGTGTGTGCGTGTGTGTGTGTGCGTGTGTGTGTGCGTGTGTGTGCGTGTGTGTGTGTGTGTGTGCATGTGTGTGTGTGCGTGTGTGTGTGCGTGTGTGTGTGCGTGTGTGTGCGTGCGCTTGTGTGCGCGTTTCGTGTCGACTCGGCCTCGAATGAGCGCCGGGGTGCGGTGTGGTAAAACATCGCCGCCGTGGAGGCAGTGGCGGCCCGGGCGTGGCGCTGGCCGCCCGCCCCCTCGTGTGCCGCTGCTGCTGCTGCTCTAACAGCACTTGTCCCCACCGACGGTCTTGGTGAAGGCTACACGGGGGGGGGCAGGGGGGACCTTTGTCTTTGCGTGCCCACGGTCGTGACCGCCAGCGGCACGTCGGATTTCTCAACAGACGCGCGTTGTAAGCGTTTAGAAAGCGTTCCGCTCTCGCGCGATCAGCGCTGCGTGCGCGCGCAGCTCGTTAGCCGCGTGATTTGCGCCCCGGCGACAGATGCCGCCGCGTGATGAGCTCGGAGATCGGCGTTGGCTCCCCCCCCCCCGCGAGACGACTTCAAAAATCTGGTGCCGCAGATGCCACCGGGACTGGGAATTCGGCAGACGCGCGATAACGAGCCCTTGCCACCGCAACCCCCTCCCCGTGCCCTTCCCCACCGCCCCCCCATCCTTGGCAGCTGTTAACGCCAACAGCAGCAGCAGCAGCAGCAACGACTCAAAAGGAAGGGAAAAAAAAACGATGAAAAAAATCCGGCACAAAATTTTGCACCGGGGGGGGGGAGGGCGAGGTGCCTGTTTGCCCGGCGCGTCGGCGCCAGCAGGCCGGGCGCCAGCCTTGCGCGCCGGCCAGCCGTGGTGAGCCGTTGCAAATTTGCACCGTCTCATCGACCTGAATTAATTAATTTGTCCCGACGAAGTAGCTTTGGATTTCTTGAGTAACAAAAAAAACTTAAAAATATCTGACATTTATCAAAGTGACGTTGGCGCCCGTGAATCTGAGCTTGTGAATTCGACAAATTATCCGCCGCCGCCGCCACCGCCGCTGCGTTGGGGCAGTGGTGCACGAGCACAACCAACAACAACAACAACACAAACCTGCCCAACGTCGTCTCTGTGTCAACAACAACAACAATGCCGTGTGTGTGTGTGTGTCACGCTCGCTAACAGCACTTGCCCCAGCAGTCTGGTAAGGCTATAAGAGGGGGATCTTTGTCTTTGTATCAGTGTGTCAGCACGTGCGTGGAGCGGTGGCGCAGCGGTTAGCGCGCCGCGCTACGAACCCGACGACCCCGAAGTTCGATTCCCGCTCACGGCCACCACCAACGTCGGTGACGATTATCTGAACCGGTCCTGGGCCTCCGCCACTAGGTCAACTCAGCCTCAAATGAGTAACCTGGTGCGGTGTGTAGCAAACATCGCCACTGGGGAGACAAAAGCGGCCGGGCGTGGTGCTTGCCACTCGCCCCTTCGTGTGCGGTGCAGGTTCGTCATAGGTGCTGCTCGCTAACAACACTTGCCCCATAGGCGATACTCGCTTGTTGAAGGCTATTTGGGGGACCTTTGTCTGTGCCAGCAGGGCGAAGGGGTGGGTGGCGTCGAGGCCTACGAGGTGGAGCTCACGAAGGACACGCAGGGGCTGGGCATTACCATCGCTGGCTACGTTGGCGATAAGAACTCTGGTAACGTCTCGCCATCAGCTTGTCTATGGGTCTCTGTGTTGCGTCGATAGTTTATGTGTGAGTCTGCGGGTCTCTGTGTGAGTCTGTGGGTCTCTGTGTGAGTCTCTGGGTCTCTGTGTGAGTCTATGGGTGTCTGTGTAAGTCTATGGGTCCCTGTGTGAGTCAATGGGTGTCTGTGTAAGTTTATGGGTCTCTGTGTGAGTCTATGGGTCTCTGTGTGAGTTTATGGGTCTCTGTGTGAGTCTATGGGTGTCTGTGTGAGTTTTTGGGTCTCTGTGTGAGTCTATAGATTTCTCTGTGAGTCTGTGGTCTCTTTGTGAGTCTATGAGTGTCTGTGTAAGTCTATGAGTCTCTATGCGAGTCTATGGGTCTCTGTGTGAGTCTATGGGCAGTAAGATATTGGATCTTGACCAGGCTACTCCTGAAGTCGGCCTCTGGCTCACACGCCGGCCTAGGCTATAAAAAAAACCTCCACCGGTGGAGGGGGGTGGGGGGCTGGGTGGGGGAGGCCTTCATCCAGCTTTTGATTGATCGTGACGACGACGATGTGGTTCAACTCCTCGCCCGCAAAATTTCGAAGTGTAGAGCGTGTAGCCTGCGTGGCCGCGCAGGGTTGACGCTGCGTTGTTGCCGTGCGCGGTTGTTTTGCGGTTGGCCGCCGAGCAGAGCTGTCGGGAATCTTCGTGAAGAGCATCACCCCGGGCAGCGCCGCGGAGCACGACGGCCGCATCTGGGCCGGGGACCAGATCATCGCCGTGAGGCTCGCGCGGCACGCACGCACGCTTGCACAATCACGCGTTCGCACACACACTCATATTCTCACGTACTCGCGCTCGCACGCACACACGCACTCGCACGCACTCGCACGCGTGCATTCACACACACGCTCATACACTCACGTACTCGCACACGCACGCGCACACGCACTCACGCGTACACGCACCTTGCACACACTGACACGCACACGGCGCACGTACGTACACACACATACACACGACACACGGTTCAGATTAACGTCACTGGTGTTTGGTGACCGTGAGCGGGAATCGAACTCGGGCCATAACCGATGCACTACCGCTCCCCACCACACACGCACGCACACACACGCACACACACACACGTACACACACACACACACGCGCACACATGCGCACACGCACACACACGCGCGCCAGGTGGACGAGACGGACCTGCAGGGCTTCACCAACCAGCAGGCGGTGGAGGTGCTGCGCCGCACCGGCAGGACGGTGCGCCTCACGCTCGCCCGCCGGGAGCCGCGGCACGGCGCGGCCGCCGGCGGGCGCCGCTCCTCCCGGCACAGCCCCGGCTCGGGGTCGAGCGAGGGCGGCGACGACGACGACGGTGACGACGGTGACGAGGTGGAGGAAGAGGGGCGACGGCGCTCAACCTCTCCCGGCGGCCGGCGCGGGCTCGGCGGCGGTGGCGGCAAGCGAGAGAAGATCTGGAGCGCCGACGCGGAGACGGACGCCCCCAGCGTCACCGTCACCATCTCGCCCTCCAGGCCCGGTGAGACGTTGGGTGCGCTACGGTGGGCTCGGAGATGTTAACTACATCGCCTGGTGTGCAGGAGGTCGTGGGTTCGATCCTGACCCTGACGACGCCTGCTGTATATTTTAAGTCTGAGTGTCTCTCTCTCTCTCATCATCACGGTGGCTAGGAGATGTTAACTGCCTCCCCTGGTATACAGGAGGTCGTGGGTTTAATCTTGACCCCGACGATGCCTGCTGCTGTGTATTTGGAGTTTGCGTGTCTCTCTCGCTCTCCCCGTGGTGGTCACGTGGATTTTTTTCTCCGGGGTCCTCCGGTTTTTCCCCTCCACATTTCGAATCAACGGTCATGTGCTTAGAGTTATTTGGCTGCTGCTGTGAATTTCCACGAGATGATGATGATGGTAAGCCGCCACTTTCGTTGAGCTATCGTTTGTGATAGCCAGGTCGCTCCTGGAAAAATATCTACAATATAGCTCAGTGAGCCTTACACCTGGTGAAATAAAAATAGTTTAGTTCAGTGGTGGTGGCGACGAGCGGTTGCCGGGTCGCAACAAACGTCGGGCGGCCTCCACCGTGCACGCACCACCATCTCTGCCGGGAGATGGCCGGCTAATTATCGTCTTTCTTTTATTACCTTATACAGATTTACAAACACTAATTGTGTTTTCCCAATCGTGGTTGTTTTCACTTATTTTTAATCGGCCAAAATCTTTGACCGTGATGCCCGCGCCGGGCGGCACGTCGGTATTAACCAGGACGGCCGCTGGGCTGAAACCGCTCGGGTCGCGTCAAGCCCCGAATCGTTTTGCCGCCGGATCTGTTTCATCATCTTCGTCGTCGTCATCGTTGCCGAGGAGGAGGCGGTGGTGGCGGCGCTAGGCGGCCACGCGGCGGCGGGCGGAACGTTACGGACACACGAGCGACGAGCGAGCGACGAGCGATCGACGAGCGATCGACGAGCGATCGACGAGCGATCGACGAGCGGGCATGCGCGGGCGTTGTGTTGGCGCGCGTAGGCGGTGTGTGGGGCGGCGCGAGGCGCACCAGCGGCGGTGGCGGTACCACGCTGAGCGCTGCCGGCATGGACAACGATGAGGAGGAGGTGGACGATGCTCGTGGGCGGGAGGCCGAGCGGCGTCGCTTCCTCCCCGGTTAGCTCGCCCGGCCCCCCACCCCCCACCCCCCCCACCCACCCGCCTTGACGGCCACCAACGGGAAGGGGAGTTTGACAACAGCGATCCACCAACCCTCCCGCTGCTGCTGCTGCTGCCTCCATAGCGCCGGGTTACAGGGCAGCCACCGCAGCCGCCGCCGCCACCCGGTTCCGTCCCGTGTTGCGCTGTTTTGTTCGGCGTAGGGGAGGCGGCGTGAGGCCCGCGGCGTTTGTTGACGTTGGCCGTGCCGATTGTCGTCGGCGTGGCGCCAACTCGCGAGCTCTCTCCCCATCCCCTGTATATTTGGAGTTTGCATCTCTCATCATCATCATCATAACGGTGGCTAGCAGATGTTAACTATCTCGCCTGGTATGCAGGAGGTCGTGCGTTCGATCCCAACCCTGAGGATGCCTGGATTTTGCGTGTCTCTTTCTGCCCGTGGCGGTCGCGTGGATTTTCCCTCTGGATCCTGCAGTTTTTCCGCCTCCACGTTTAAAATGGACGTGCGAGTATTTTGGCTGCTGTGCATTTTCACGCGATGAGACACCGTAGAGCTGTCGTGCGTGATGGCCAGGTCGCTTCTCAAATAGAGCTGCATAGCTCAGTGGGCCTTACCTGGTAGAATAATCTAAATCGTTTACAGTCTTAGTTTACCTGCTCCGTCGCACGCACGCCGATTCGTAGCTCGTGGTGCCCACGCCGCTATTTAAATCATCACGAGCTTGTGTGCCCGTCCAAGGACGGGTCTATATCGCAGTAAATCTGAAGTATTCAATAGAAAAATTGTTCAGCTCATGATTATCAATGAGGGGGGGGGGGGGTGCCTCACTTCATCCGTTCATGATTATTAATTTGGGGGGTGCTCCATGGTGAGTGACGTCACCCGCTCATGATTATTAATGACGGTGGGGGGGGGGGGTGGGCCTCATGTGGAGTGACGTCACGCGCGGGACGCGCACACATCCTTGGCTTATTATATTAGTAATCATCGAGATTGACCAACTCACTTCTTTAGGCCTGCTTTTTGTGTGTTTAGTTTGTTGTCCTTCCGCCCCCGTCCCTCCGATGAGCAAGTTTGGCTACGTACGGTGCGAAAGAAATTCAACGTGCACACAAACTCCTCATCACCCTCCTCGTCTCGCGCAGGAATCAAGGCCTCCACCGAGGACGACGACGTCGTCAGGGCCAGCTGGCAGAACATCCTCGGAGCGGGGAAAGAAGTGGTGGTGCGTCGCCCAACCGCGCACTCCCGTCGCCGCCCGTCGTCGGGGACGGGCACGCGCCCACCCCCATTGGCGCCGTTAGAAGTTCCAGACGGACGTGAAGCGTTCGCGTCGTCGTTCGTAACCCCCCCCCCACCCTCCTTCTCCCTCCGCGTCGCCGTCCAGGTGTCGCGCGTGTTCAAGACGAGCGAGCGCAGTGGCCTGGGCATCAGCCTCGAGGGCTCCCTGGGGCACCACCACATCCGCTCCATCCTGCCCGAGGGGCCCGTGGGGCGCAGCGGCCTGCTGCTCAGCGGGGACGAGCTGCTGGAGGTCGGGGCCCCCCCCACACACCCACCGCACTCACCCACCCCACCCCAGCCACCTCACCCACCCACCGCACTCACCCGCCCCACCCCAGCCCACGCACCCCACCCCACCCCAGCCATCTGACCCACCCACCCCACCCACCCACCCCCAGCCATCTGACCCACCCCTCCACCACCCCACCCACCCCACCCATGCCACCAAATCCCACCCACCCCACCCCAGACATCTGACCCACCCCCCCACCACACCACCCACCCCACCCACCACACCTACCCCACCTAATTCCACCCACCCCACCCCAGACATCTGACCCACCCCCCCACCACACCACCCACCCCACCCACCCCACCTAATCCCACCCACCCCACCCCACCCACCCCACCCATGCCACCCACCCCACCCCAGCCATCCAATCCACCCACCCCACCCACCCCACCCATCCCACCCACCGCACCCACCCCACCCATCCTCCCCACCGACCCCACCCATCCACCCTACCCACCCAAGCCATCCGACCCACCCACCCCACCACCCCACATACCCCCCCACCCCTAACCACTCCACCCACCCCACCCCACCTACCATACCCATTACACCCACCCAACCCCACCCACCACACCCATAAACCCCCCCACCCACCCCACCTACACCCCGACCCCACCCCAGCCATCCGACCCACCGACCACCCCAACCCACCAACCCCACCATCCCACCCCACCCACCGACCCCAACCTACAGCCTCCCGCCCACTCCCTACCCACCCCTCTACCCCATACTGTCCCCTCTCCTGTAGCCACCCCCCCCCCTTAGTGAGAGTGAGGGAATGGAGGGGGAGAAGGAGAGAGGGAGGGGGGGGGACGGAGGGAAGAAGCGTGGGTGGGGGGGGCAGAGGGAAGGAAGTGCGAGGGAGGAGGGGAGCGAGCGAGGGAGGTCACGTGTGTTGACGGGGCCCCCCCTCTGGCCCCCCCCCCCAGGTGAACGGCACGCGCCTGCTGGGCCGTGCCCACCGCGAGGTGGTGGCCATCCTCAAGGAGCTGCCGCTCGCCGTCACCATGGTGTGCTCCCGGCACGCCCACGACTACGACGCCGGCGCCGGCGGGCAGAGCGCCTCGTCGCCCGGCCAGGTGAGAGCCGGGTCGGCACTCGCTCGCTCTCTCTCTCTCTCTCGCCCCTGCCCATAGACTCAGCACTGCCCATAGACTCAACACTGCACCATAGACTCAGCACTGCACCATAGACTCAACACTGCCCATAGACTCAACACTGCCCATAGACTCAGCACTGCCCATAGACTCAACACTGCACCATAGACTCAGCACTGCACCATAGACTCAACACTGCCCATAGACTCAACACTGCCCATAGACTCAACACTGCCCCATAGACTCAACACTGCACCATAGACTCAGCACTGCACCATAGACTCAACACTGCCCATAGACTCAACACTGCCCATAGACTCAACACTGCCCATAGACTCAACACTGCACCATTGACTCAACACTGCCCATAGACTCAACACTGCCCATAGACTCAACACTGGACCATATACTCAACACTGCCCATAGACTCAACAATGCACCATAGACTCAACACTGCCCATAGACTCAACACTGCCCATAGACTCAACACTGCCCATAGACTCAACACTGCACCATTGACTCAACACTGCCTATAGACTCAACACTGGACCATATACTCAACACTGCCCATAGACTCAACAATGCACCATAGACTCAACACTGCCCATAGACTCAACACTGCCCATAGACTCAACACTGACCATAGACTCAACACTGCCCATAGACTCAACGCTGCTCATAGACTCAACACTGCCCATAGACTCAACACTGCACCATAGACTCAACACTGACCAAAGACTCAACACTGCACCATAGACTCAACACTGCTCATAGACTCAACACTGCACCATTGACTCAACACTGCCTATAGACTCAACACTGGACCATATACTCAACACTGCCCATAGACTCAACAATGCACCATAGACTCAACACTGACCAAAGACTCAACACTGCACCATAGACTCAACACTGCCCATAGACTCAACACTGCCCATAGACTCAACACTGCCCATAGACTCAACACTGCACCATTGACTCAACACTGCCTATAGACTCAACACTAGACCATATACTCAACACTGCCCATAGACTCAACAATGCACCATAGACTCAACACTGCCCATAGACTCAACACTGCCCATAGACTCAACACTGACCATAGACTCAACACTGCCCATAGACTCAACACTGCCCATAGACTCAACACTGCACCATAGACTCAACACTGACCAAAGACTCAACACTGCACCATAGACTCAACACTGCTCATAGACTCAACACTGCCCATAGACTCAACACTGCACCATAGACTCAACACTGACCAAAGACTCAACACTGCACCATAGACTCAACACTGCTCCATAGACTCAACACTGCCCATAGACTCAACACTGCCCATAGACTCAACATTGCATCATAGACTCAACACTGCCCATAGACTCAACACTGCCCATAGACTCAACACTGCCCATAGACTCAGGGCCGCATGGTTGGCTACGTACGGTGCGAAAGAAGTTTAACGCATGGTACACACATAACGCTGCGTTTCTGATTCCGGTCGCGTGGTGCGTCTCACGTCACTATCGTCGCCTGTGTGTCCGTGTTTTCGAGTCTACGTGTCTGCACGTGCGTCCGTGCGTGCGAGTCTACGAACGTTGGCAGCATCGACATCTTTGCGTGACCATGCGTGCGTGTTGTACCACACGTGCGCGTATGTACCGTATCCACGCGCGCGCGTGACAGACCGTGCGTGTGTGCGTGCCTGCGTGCGTGCGTGTGCCCGTCTCTCGGCAGCTCGGGTTGCCCGCCCCGCGGCTGCCACCTTTCGCGTGGGGAGGCAGCCAACAGAGTCTCGCCAGCTCTGACCACAGCCTGGGCCAGGTGAGAGCGGCACAGCCCTCGACGTGGGGCCCTCCCGTGGCGTCGTCGGCCCGGCGCGGCTTCGTGCGTCCGCAAATAGTTTATAGTTCTCTCGGTTAGTTTTAGAGATGTTTGTGGCTTGCCAGGCCGTGGTGGCGAGAGGGTTGGCGGGTCGCGACCGACGTCACGAGGCTTCCGCCACACGCGCCGGGAGGAGGGGCCGCACGATGGCCCCACGGCAAATGCGCCACGCCGGCTAATTATCGTCTGTGCCTTATTACGTCATGTATAGATTTGGAAGGCGCTGCTATGTAGGTTATAACATTGTACGCAAGATGACAGTGGTTGAGACGGGGTTGTTATTAATGGCGGTGGTGTAGTCATGGTACGTACTATGGACTTCGGGTTCGGCGATGGATCGTCAACGCTGAGCAGCACCAGCACAGCTTCTCTTGCCCATCGTGGGGTGAGGTGTTAAACTAATTTAATCTATTTTTTTATTAATCAGGTAAGGTCCACTAAGCTACATAGCTCTTTTTCGTAAGCGACCTGGCTGTCACAAACGATAGCTCTACGTCCTCATTGCGTGGAATGTACAGCAGCCAAATAATCTTAAACGCACATGGATTCTCAATGTGGATAAAAATCCACACAGAGAGAGAGGGAGACACGCAACTCCAAATATACAGCAGGCGTCAGCATCAAATCCACGACTTCCTGCATACCAGGCGAGGTTGTTAACATCTCCCGGCCACCATGATGATGATGAGAGAGAGACGCAAACTCCAAATATGCAGTTTAACACGTAGGCTTTCGCGACCAATATCATCCATAATAGAGGTTTGGGTTAGATCGTGTATACAACAGGCGTCGGGGTCGGGATTAAATCCACGACTCCCTGCATACCGGGCGAGGTCGTTAACATCTCCTAGCCACCGTGGCGCCCTTAGTGACCGCGACCTTCGCCCCCCACCGCCCCCGCCCCCCACGCAGATGTGGTCCGGGGGTAGCCCCCCCGCGTCTCCAGATGGCGCTCTCGCGGCCGGCAGGCCCAAGGCTCCGGCCGCGACGAACCTCGGACCCCAGAGTGGCGTCTCCTCCTCCTCCTCGTCTCCCGCGGCGTCGCGGACGGAGACGGAGCGAGCGCCGTGGAGCCCGGACGACGGCGGCGCCGGAGTCGTTCTCGGGGGACCCCGGAGCGCCGGGCCGGTGGGGGGGGGGCGCGACGGGGACAGAGGCCGAGGAGGGGGAGGGGGGGGTGGCGGCGGTTGCCGGAGGGCAGCAGCCCATGTGGGACTCGGAGGTGCAGTGGATCGAGCTGGAGAAGGGCAGCCAGGGGCTGGGGTTCAGCATCCTGGACTACCAGGTGAGTGAGAGGCCGAGGGACGATCCCGGGAGGCTCCCCAGTCGCAGCCGTCGTCGTCAGCAACATTGTCGTCGTCGTCACCATCATCATCATCCCCGTCGTCATCATCGTCACCATCATCATTACCGTCGTCATCGTCGTCACCATCATCATTACCGTCGTCATCATCATCGTCATCATCATCATTACCATCATCATCATCGTCACCATCATCATCATTACTGTCGTCATCGTCGTCACCATCATCATTACCATCGTCATCATCATCGTCACCATCATCATCATTACCATTGTCATCATCGTCACCATCATCATCATTACTGTCGTCATCATCGTCACCATCATCATCATTACCATCGTCATCATCATCGTCACGATCATCCTCGTCAGCAGCCATGGTCGTCCCTTCCAGCCCCTCCCATCACGGCCGCCCCCCCCCCCCACCATGGCCGCCCTCATGGCTGTCCCCACGGCCGCACCCACGGCTGCCCCCCACGGCTGCCCCCCCCCCACCACGGCTGCCCCCCCTCCCCCCACCACGGCCACCCCCCAATGGCCGCCCCACCACGGCCACCCCCGCAGCCGCCCCCACTGCCACCGCCTGCCGGTGCCGTGTGTTGCCGGCAGGACCCGTGGGACGCGGACCGCAGCGTGGTGCTTATCCGCTCGCTAGTGCCGGGCGGCGCCGCCGAGCGGGACGGTCGCCTGCTGCCCGGCGACCGCCTGGCGTTCGTCAATGAGCGCGACCTCACCGGCGCCGGCCTGGAGGAGGCCGTCGCGGCCCTCAAGGGGGCACCGGCGGGCACCGTTCGCATCGGCGTGGCCAAGCCCCTGCCGGTGAGAAGGGGGAGGGAGGGAAGTGGGAAGGGAGGGAGGCGGGGAGGGGAGGGGAGGGAGGATACTCCATTGGCTGTGCTAGGCCCAAGCATACCAAGCAAAGGCATAGGGCCCCAAGCAGCTGAAGGAGATCCGATATTAAAGCGAAAGAAGCTCAAACATTCCGTACGCACACACACACACAAGCCCTGTGCAACCCCCTCGCTCGTTTCATTCCGAACGATTCCCCACCGTCGCTCTAACACCCCCCCACCTCCCCCGCCCCACCTCTTCGCTCGTTAAACCTAACGGGGCGCTCCCTCTGTGTTTTCCCCCCTCCCGACCCTCGTCCCTGTCTAACCGACTAACCGCACCGCGGCCGCCGGCGACGTCGTCGTCGCGCGGGCAGCCCGACCCGGCGCCGGGCTCCTCGGGCCGTCACGCCGGCCGCGACGCTGCGGCCGTCACCAGGGAGACGCAGCTCCCCGGCGCCGCCGCCCCCGTCGCTAGGGCGGCCGTCGCCACGGCGACCCCGTACCGCACGCGGGGGTTCCAGCTGCCGCCGCGCGCGCCGCGCGTGAGCTCGCCCCTCTTCCACGCCGAGCTGGCGCTGGTCTGTGTGCGACGCGCTCGTGTGCGCGCGTGTCGCCCCCCGGTCGCGTGCCCGTAGTTGCGTGTCGGCGTGTGCCAGCGCTTGTGTGTCTGTAGTTGTGTCGGCGTGTGCCCAGCCTCGTGTGTCAGTGTGTGTCCGCGCTCGTGTGCCCGCGACCGCGTATCGGCATGTGCCGGCGCCCGTGCGCCCGCACTCGTATGCCCACGGTCCTGTGCCCGCGTTCGTGCCGGGATAGGCAACGAGTCGACGGTGACTGGCAGAGTCGCCGCCGTCGAATCCGAGGTGGTTTCAATGCGTAATTTGTACCGGATTTCTAAGAGATTTGCAAGGCGATATCCACGAGATATCCGCGAGATTCGGGGTCACTCGGCAGGCCCGTCAAGCCCCGACGTAAGCCACGTGTGAAGACGCGAAGCATTCTGGGATTGACCAGGTGACCTCCAGTGTGCCTGGGGTTGGCCAGGCGGGTGGGGGGCGCTGTGACGCTTGCACGCTCGGCGCTCGCGCCAAGACCGTCGGCACGCGGGTGCAGCGGCGTGGCTGCGGGTGGGGGGGGGGCATCCCTCAGGCTGGAAGGGGGACCCAGGGGGGGGACCCAGGGGGGGGGACCCAGGGGGGGGACCCAGGCACGTTGCGTTCCTTACACCACCAGGGGCCGTGCCACCACCATGTCCAGGGCACCCACGCGGCGATCCGTGATGGGCCCCCTCACCCCCGCATCCGATGACGACGACGACGATGATGATGACGACGATGACGACGATGACGACGACGACGATGATGATGATGATGACGATGACGACGATGATGATGACGATGACGACGACGACGACGACGATGATGATGATGATGACGATGATGACGATGACGACGATGACGATGACGACGATGATAATGACGATGATGACAAAGATGACGACGACAACGACGATGATGATGATGACGATGACGACGACGACAACGACGATGATGATGACGATGACGACGATGACGACGATGATGATGATGACGACGATAACGATGATGCCTCCTCCTCGTTACCTTGCGTAGCGTTGCCTCTCCTCGAGCCTGTACTCACGACTAATCCACTAACAACGCTGCAGTAGCTGGTCAGGCCTGGGTCATTGTCGGTGTGGGAGTCGGAGGGGGGCGATGGGGGTGCTCGGTTTTTGTAGAATAAGTTGAGTGTTGTTGTTTATGTGTTTGTTGTTGTTGTTTGGAGGGTTGGGAGGGGGTGGGGCGGCCTCCTTGGGCGCCTGAGCGCGGGCGCCGTGACGGCGAGCGGCCGGCTGCGAACAGCGCTGTGGGCGCCACGAGGCGCCGGTGGCAGCCTCCAGTCGAGAACAAAACTCCCAGCAGGAAACACCGCCCTGCCCCCCCCCCCTCAATCCCCCACTGCCCGCCCGTACTACGGCAACTACCGGCGGCGCGAGTTCCAAACGTGTCGATGTGCGCGCGTCACTGCGCGGCGCGTCGCGTGCGCACGCCACGCTCGTGTGCGCGCGGCCGTGTGAGCTCATCACGTGGCCGTGTCCGCTCGTCGTGTCCGCTCGTCGTGTCCGCTTGTCGTGACCGCGTGGTTGTGTACGTGTGGTCGTGACCGCGTGGTCGTGTCCACTTGTTGTGTCCGTGTAGGTGGAGCCCACCGAGTCGGAGGCCTTGGAGTCGTCGTCCACCTCGGGGCAGTCCCACGGCTCGACCTCGCAGGCACGCCGGCACCACCAGCACCACCACCAGCAGCACCACCAGCACCACCACCAGCAGCACCACCAGCACCAGCAGCACCAGCAGCACCAGCAGCACCACCACCAGCACCAGCAGAACTACCAGCAGCACCACCAGCACCACTACCAGCACCACCACCAGCACCACCACCAGCAGCACCACTACCAGCACCACCACCAGCAGCACTAGCACCAACACCAGCACCACCACCAGCAGCACCACCACCAGCAGCACCACCAGCACCAGCAGCACCACCAGCAGCACCAGCAGCACCACCACCAGCACCAGCAGCACTACCAGCAGCACCACCAGCACCACTACCAGCACCAGCACCACTACCAGCACCACCAGCAGCACCACCACCAGCAGCACCACCAGCAGCACCACCAGCAACTACCAGTTCTACCAGCACCACCAAACCATCACGACCAGCAGCAATGACAGCACCAGACACTTCCCACTGCTAACACCGGCGCAACCATTAAGAGCAACAGCAGCAGTAGCAGCAGTAGCAGCAGCAGTAGCATCAGTAGCATCAGCAGCAGCAGTAGCAGCAGCAACAGCAGCAGCAGTAGCAGCAGCAGCAGCAGTAGTAGCAGCACCAGCAGCAACAACAGCAGCAGTAACAGCAGCAGTAGCAGCAGCAGCAACAGCAGCACCAGCAGCAACAACAGCAGCAGTAGCAGCAGCAGTAGCAGCAGCAGCAACAACAGCAGTAACAGCAGCTACCTGCAGCGTTAACCGTGAATTCGTGACTCTGTGAATCCGTGACCCTCTGACTCCGTGTGTCCAGGTGAGCGACGGGATCACCCGCCCTCCGTCCGAGTTCGAGAAAACCATCACGGTGAACAAAGGGACGTCCAGCCTCGGTGAGCTGCAGCCGTGGATGCTCGGCCCACTGCTGGCTGAATGCCTCTCCGCTTGCCCTTAGTCTGCGTGTCCTTGAGTGCAGGGCGCGTGCAGAGGAAACAAGAAGATGCTCGGGGTAGTCGGCACTTTGCTTCGTTCATCATTTAGTTTTTTTTCAATGCTTTGCTTTATGTGCCCCCCCCCACCTCCCTTTTCAAATGAAAGATTTCACAAAAGATGTCACGCTCTGCTCTCCTCCTTCTTACCCCTTCCCTCTCTCTCTACCCCCTCTCTCCCTACTCCATGTGTATGGTCCCCCTGTGTTATATGTAATATTTGTAAAAAAAAAAAAATTTACTACGACAATTGCTGCATCTGCACACACGCACTCACACACTCACACACACACATACGCACGCACGCACTGACGCACTCACACACACACGCACTCACGCGCGCACTCACGCACACATTCACACACGCACTCACGCACACACTCTCACACTCACACACGCACTCACGCTGTTGCCGGCGGCACTGCTGCAGGCATGACGGTGACGGCGGACCCGGAGGGCGCCGGCATGATGGTGCGCAGCGTGATGCACGGCGGGGCGATGGGGCGCGACGGGCGCGTCACGCCAGGCGACGTGCTGGTGGCCGTGAGCGGGGAGCGCGCCGCCGGCCTTGGCAGCGCGCAGGCTCGGGCCCTGCTGCGCAAGCACTCGCTCATCGGGGCGCAGATCGAGTGAGTGAGCGGGCGGGCGGGTGAGCAGGCGGGCGGGTGAGCGGCGCACGGGCGACTGCATTTAACGACAAAAAGATCCCCGTTCTTTTAGGGCGGTGCTCTTGACGAGCGTGTGCCCGCTTCTCGTTACGTCTTCTACGCTCCGCTTAACTGCTTTTCGCCCTCTGCGTGCGTGTGAGTGCGTGTGAGTGCGTGCGTGCCAGTGCGTGTGTGCGTCGCTACGCAGTAGCACACGTGCGGCAACTCTCCCTCCCACGTGGCGACCGTTGCCTGTTAACCCGGCGGCGACCGTTGCCTGTTAACCCGGCGGCGACCGTTGCCTGTTAACCCGGCGGCGACCGTTGCCTGTTAACCCGGCGGCGACTGTTGCCCGCAATGCCGATGTTCTTGCCGTGCCGCTCACTGTCGCTCCCCTTCCGCCGCCGCCGCCCTCTCCCCTCTCCCCGTGGCCCAGGTGTGATGGGCCCTCCGTGGGGCCCAGGGAGGCCCCTTCCCTAGAGTGAGTCCCCCCCCCCCCCCACCTCCTTCTCGTCCCCCTCCCCCTCTGCCCCTTTACCCCCCCCCCATCATCTGCGCTGCCCCCCTCCCCAAGCCTTTGATTAGTTACCAACAATAACAACAACAATAACGTCAACAATAACGTCACCGACCGCGTTTTATACTGCGCCCGTAAAGTAACACGACACTTAAACGTCCCGTGTTGGCGGGTTGGGGGGGGGGGGTCCCCGTTTTATCGACCTGTGGAGGGATGATGATGATGGTGATCATGATGATGGTGAAAACAACGATCGTTTTCATTTTTGAGTCAATCAAAACGACTAATCGACTAACTAACCGTGGAGCGAGAGAGCGGGCAGGCGTGTCACGTGACCCACCCGATCCCGACCCCTGACGACGCCTGCTGCTGCTGCTGTATATTTGGAGTTTGGTGGTGGGATGGATATTTCTTCTCTCTCCGGGTCCTCTGGTTTTCCCTCTTCCACATTTAGAATCGACATCACGCATTCAGAGTATTTAGCTGCTGTGTTTCACGTGGTGTATTCACGGCGCCGTTTCGCCCCACGCCACGTACAACGACTTCTCTTCTCGTGTCCACGCCGCAGCCTGCTCGCTCCCCCGCCCCCCGCCCCCCGCCCCCCCCCCCACCCCACTAACCCCGGCGTCGTGTCGACCGCTGCCGGGCCTCCGCATGCGCCCCGAGCGGCTGGCGCCGGCGCCGCGCTTGCACGGCTCTCACTCTGCCGGAAGCGCCGCCGCCGCCACCACCCACTACCACCCCCACCGCTACCGCTACCACCATCGCTACAACCACTACCACCACTACCACCGCAACCACTACCGCCGTTATCACCACCGCTACTGCCACCGCGACCACCACCACGACCACCGCCAACACTACCACCGCTACCACCATCACTGCTACCACCACCATGACCACCACTACCACCATCACCGCTACCACCACCACGACCACCACTACCACCATCACCGCTACCACCACCACGACCACCACTACTACCGCTTCCACCACCACCGCTACACCATCACTGCTATCACCACCACAACCACCGCCACCACTACCACCGCTGCCACCACCACGACCACCACTACCACCGCTATCACTACCACCGCTCCACCACCACCG